CACTTTAGACGATCTATAATTTGCGACCAAATTCAAAACAGAATTCTGTTTATAATTTCGTATCGTTGGTCTGTTTTCTATTCCTACACTAGACTGTTCTAGAATTCTCTTTCTCGCTTTAGACAAATATCAAACATATGTCTGTCTCACTGTAAGTTCCAAAAGTGTATACTAGTTTAGCCACAAAAAACAGATTTCGTGTAACATAGAAACATTAAAGAAATAAAATACATACATATAGAAAATATATGTCATTGATATATATTTTCTATATGTATTTTACTTCTTCAAATGTTTCTTATATTATATGATACGCAAAATTATGAATAGAATTATGTTCTGAATTTGCGAATTATAGATCGTATAAAGTAAGCTTTAAAGAATAACGAATTTAAAAACATGCATTGAGAAAAAAATTAACTATATTAATTCAATATTTATTTCTTTCATTGGAGATTGTATATGTATTTAATGACAAATTCGATTAAAAGCACTAATGCGCACTGGTGCATATTAAAGCCGTTGTACACTGATTTAATTTGAATATAAAAATAAAATGCAAATATTTCGAATTATGAAATACATATTTTATCTAATAGTATATTAAAATGTATTAAATATTTCACGATTTAATCGATTTCTATATTTATTTATAAACATATTTTTACGTTATTTTGTGTACGACGCTTTAATGTGCACCAGTGTGCACTGAGTGCGTCCAATCGAATTCGCTATAAGTCAAATATAATACATCAAATGTAAAAATTTTTCTCAGTACGGCGCATCAACTGTTTTTTTAATATAGATGATTATATCTTCTCATACTTGCAAGAATTGATGAGGTAGCGATTGAACAGAGATTGCTTGCGTTCTCTGCTGCTCATGTTGCGGCTGTTGAGCTTGTAAAGGCACAAAGTTTTGCAGGGTAATAACTTGTGGCTGTTGCTGTTGCTGTTGTTGCTGCTGAGCTTGCTGAACATCTTGTTGTTGCTGCAATTGCTGCAACACATTAGCGCTTAGAAAACGAATCTGCGGCTGGACAGTTTGCTGCTGTTGCTCTAATTGTTGTTGATCTGCATCATCTTGCTGTTGCTGTTGAGGTTGCAAAGGATCCTGCTCTTCGATTTCTTCCTACAAATAATTATATCATTTATTTTCTTATCTTGTAGATTTTTTATAGTATAATAGCATTTTAAGTTAATTGCTGTGTATAAATATTGTATATATTTATATAAAAAAATATTTTTTATCAACATCAATTTCAAGAAATAATATTATAAAAATAAAGTATTAGTAAAATAAAAGTAAAGAACTAATAACACATAATAATCTTACCTGTGAAAGATTCCTGCCGTCTATGCTCCGTTTCATGATGAATAATTTCGTTTTGCACTCTATATAATTTATACCAACGAATCTAATGTCATTTCATGTCGAGTGCTATGAATTTATAATATAACAACTACATTGGCAATCTTCTTGAAGCTACAAGAAACGTGTCGTCCACAGAAATGGCGCTCCTACAAAGAAATGTTATTTTTAGAGAATTGTGTCTATTATAGTAACTAATTCTATAAAGTTCAAGGAATTATAACAATTAAAACAATTGAATGAAAGAGATGTATAAAAAGAATGCATCGGTTTTAAAAAAGTCAGAGAATCGTTTCAAAGAATTCCTATTTTTAAAGAAATGCAGAAAGAGAGAAAAATAAAAGGAGACAAGAAAAAGAGACTTTGTTTAGTGCATTTACACTTGAACACTTACACACAATGAATGATATCTCGTTTCATTAATCTGAATAAAAAATCTCAAATCGATAATATAATTCTAAATCTTTTAACAATTTAGTTGGAGCACTGGGATTTAATACGGATGTTTAAATAAGAAAGATTTAAATACAGAAGAGAAAATGAACAAAGTTTCCAAATCCAAAGAGTTAGGTGGAGCATGGGGGATTTTACGCGGGGGTTTAAACAGGGAAAGCCAAAAGAGAGGAAAAGTGCAAGTTTCGAACTCCTTGTAGGGGTTACGAGTGTTGGAGCATGTTGACATTGAGCTTTGCTAGCATGTGCAAAAGACGCTAACTCCTTTCTCTCTCTCTCTCTCTCCCCTCTCCCCCCTCTCCCTCTCTTTCTCTCTTTCCCCGACGGGGAACAAAGAAGGCCGGTCGGCGGTAACGGGCACCCAAGGAGGACGCCGATCGAGGACCGCCTCCTTACGCCCTTGTTTCCCCACCGCCCCTACCCGATTCATAAATGTGGCACGCGCACGCGGCCCGACATGACGGCGAAGTGAGCCTCGTGTCGTCATTACCGCCCACTCGGTCATCCGCCGCTCGTTCGCACTCTCGCGGCGGCGCGAGCGACCCGCGATAACGGGGAAGGCACGACTCGCGATGCCCAGCCTCCACCCACTTTGCTACACCGGGACTCCACCTAACATGGAAACAAACACGTGTTGCCCTCTCGCAGGACTGTCTTACTCACACTGCCAAACCATTAAAAACGCCAGGCCGACGCGCGCCAGATGTCAACGTCAAACCAACATCACTATTGTCGACACTAATGCACCAGTGTCCGACTTGGCCCAAATGTAAAAGTTCGCTGATCACGCATCTATATGAAAACATGCGTCGCCTCCTCCTTTTCGATTCAGACGCGACGCGTTCGTTCACCGTAAGTCGACTCGGCAAGGACAAACCGAAACAAGTTCCGCCATACCATCCACGTCTCGTCGTACGCGAGAACGTTGCGAACAATCGCAACGGCATTCACAGGTAAGTATTCATCACCGACGCGCGGTCTCCTGCCCCGCACGTCCTCCCCCCCTCCCCCCCCCGTATACGGAAACTCCTGTGAGCCAGCGCGCGCGCGCGCGCACACACACACACAGACAGCTGCACGTGTCACGCAACGCACGCTGTCCGCCTCCTCAGAGCACTATGCCGTAGCGACGCTATCGGTCCGCGGATTCGATTCACGAACGATTGAACTCGATCACGTTGGATATCAGTATAAGAAGGGGCTGTGCCAGCGAGATTAACCGGATTAGCGTACTCCGGAAGAGTATACTGCCGCCACCGTCGAATCGCGGAAGACACGCTTAGTCCAGCTTTACTCGACGCTACCGTAGAACATCACAAAGTGGAACCGAGTTTCTCCGATTCATTAAATTCCACTGGCACGTGCACGCCGTGATATACCGCGCACGTCTCGTTCAGTTTAACCGCTCATTCGCTCTCGCAGAAATGCTGCACAACAAACACCAACAAATATCGTCCTAAAACGAGAAACATCGAGTAAAACACGAGCGCACATATCCACGAACGCGGTGCCAATGGGCGGTGCGCAGATGGCAACGTCGTCGTTTCGCTCGACACTATGGCACGGGCTCGCCGATTGGTCGGCTACGGTACGCGCGACCGGTCGGCCATCACCATTAGCCAACCAAGTTGGCCGGCAGCTCGCCGGGGCGTCGTTCGGCAGGGGCGTACGCGGGAACGCTCGCGGCGGACGCCCACCCTATTAAAGGGGGCTAAACCACGCGTACCTCCTACTTTCTCTAGTCTTCCGCTTCCTCCCACCTTTCACCTACCGACCGTGGGTGAACAGCTCGTGCGATAGGGCACGTGTCGCGATCTGTGATCCGCTACATTTCTCGGGGATGTTCCTTGACGATTGATGATCTTTGAATTAACCCGTAATAGGATCACACATTTTTATGTTATGCTGAAAGAACATTAGATCTTTGGAATTTTTTTTTCGTCATTAGTTTCAAAGTTAAAAATTTTTAATTATATAAAAAATTACAATTGAATTTAACGTAAACATATTGGACTTTACAGGTACAGTCATGTTTTGATTGTGAATTTTTTAGATTTTAGATAAATTTAAATCTATAAAAAAATTAATAAAATTCAGCTTCTATGATATTAAAAACTAGTTGAAGATTTCATAAGTGTACAAGAATTTTTTTTAGTTTTTTATACAGTTCGGAACAATACAAAAATCTGCGTTAAAGTTCGAAGACTCAAATTGCGACTAAAGGATAAAAATTGATGACAGAGGGATATAGTACGATAATTAGCCTACATCAATAGAACAAAACTGAAAAATCAGATTGTGAAACATAAAATTATTCCAAATTATTATTTAAAAATTAATAAAATAGATTTCAGGATCTCCAAAATCCATATGTTCCAGTTACGTTAAAGCGTTTCTTACTTTCAGGAAAGTCACACGAAAAAGTGCCCGTCAAGTGATAAGCTGCCTTATCTTCCTTCTTCCATAAAGGTTTCATCCTCGTACACGTAAAATGAAATTCCGAAACTTAAGCTTATTTAAAAAAAATACCTAGGATTAAATTCTTAAAAAATTCCTTTCCTAACCACATGACGATAAAGTCAGGAAATTCTTTTTTCGATAAATCATACGTTTGCCTGAAATATGCTGATCAGCGAGTGTCGACTATATGCGATATAATTTGTAGCACGTTACCAATATTTGACAAAAAAAAAATTGGAAAAACAGTACTACAAATTATTTGCTATCGATTTTATTGATATGATGATAATGATGATAATGATGATAATGAGGATGATAAATTACAAGTGCTTGTCACTGTGTCATATTACAGTGATAATACATTAGATGATTTCTCATGATATATCTCTAGTTTGTACAATTTTAGTATATATTAATAATGATACAAAGATAGTAGTTCACACTACTATCGGTTTAGTTTCAGAGACCAAATTGACAAAATTTCTTTAAAATGACGTATTACAAGCATATCTTACAGCAACGCTATATTCACAATTTTGGAGAAAATAAACATCTAGTACTGACGAGCGATTAAATAATATATAATGTACAATTGTAATGCTATAAATACTATAAATGTCGAGGTAATTTAGGATGCATCAATAAAAAGTACAAACAAAATTGATTAAATAAATCAGAATTCTGGTTATCTCGAATAAGATGTTCGATAGATTTAATTGTGTTCTATTGGTCGTTTGTATTTTTCTGGTCTCTACCAGAATTTCAATTAAGGCAATGAAATTTTTTCCAATTTAACAAGAAGATACAATACAATTATTACAAGTATGTTGCATCGGCATTGACTGTATGTACAAATAGAAAGAATGCAATTGTGCTGCATCTTGTACATAATATAGATGTTACAAATAGTGCATGACAAAATTGTGAAAAGGGAAACTACACATAAATTAAAATATTTCCTTGTAATTGACTTCAATTACTTACCGGTAAAAATCTATGCGACGATGTGTGTACACAAACTCGTACGTTGCGAATTATTCGATACAAGATATTTGCAGATTATAATATACTTTTTTAAAGATATTATTAATAGAGTTTCATTTCGCAAGAGATTGTTTGATTCTTTTCGTTTCGATCGTATAAACTATTCTTAGATATAAATACGCGATAATGAAACTTGTCAAATGTGAAATTAAAATATCCCAAAATTCTAATTCCTAAGGGTAGACTTTTTTATAGTCCTCCCCCTGATCTCTCAACGCTTATTTGTTTCTTGAGTATTTCCTTTTCATGCTGTGCTTCCTCCATTTCAGCCATCCGCGCAAAACGTGAATATGCCACATGACCAGATTTTATAGCTGACATCATCTGTATATAAAAAATGATACAAGTTTATTATGTATATATAGCATAAAAATGATTTATGCAAATGTTAAAAGAATATTCGAAAAAATAGTACGAAATAACTTTGATTACATTATAACACATGCAATATAAATGTAAAAAAAAACACAAAGCATTGCAACAAACTGATAATTTTGCTAATTGCTAATTTCTCTGTCAATTCAGAAATTATTATCGGGAATTACTACACATAATCGTGTTAAAAAAGAAACGAAATCATTCTAAAAGAAAACTACTGTATTGTACAATGCATAACGAAAAAACAAATATGCGAAAAGAAATCCGACTGTGACTGTGTGCACTATGCGCAATGTCACAGACCTGAAGATATTCATCCAATTCAACTTGACCGTTCATATTGGTGTCGATTTCACGCAGAATTTCGTGAAGTTCTTCACCTGGTACTTCCTTATCTCCAAAGAGCTGTGAAGAGAAAGAATATGCATTGAGTATATGTTTGATGATTTACCTGCAAGTAATCTGGCAATTCCATTTGGCCATTGTAAGCAACATCAATTTCACTCAACAAGCTGTGCATCTCGTCCTGGTTCATATGTATATCTAATACCTGCGTATCGGCGATATTAATGGATATCGATAATTAAAGAAAGCAAAAGATAAAAAAATGTCAGAGATACCGGAGAGATGCTGAAATATATATATGCAAACCTTTAGTCCTCGTCTAATGTCATTGATAGACACATATCCTTTCTTATCTTTGTCTATAATTCGGAAGCGCTTGATGTAGAGTTGGATCTCATCCTTGGTGAGATTGATAGGAATCTTGTCGCGGGAAGCACGGTTCACTATCTGACCCATCTCTTGAGCAAGAAATTCGCTGGCCTCGCGATGCTGCTTCTTCTTCTCCTCTGCTGACCAATGCAATTCCTCGGCCATGATATCTATGATACCCGGCAATGCCTCTTGAGCCGCTTGGACATTTAGGAAAGCGAGTCGTAATCGACGCGCAATCATGTCGATCGCAGTTCTAGCGTATTCCCGTACACCATAGCGTATCTGAAACATACATTTAAGATATTTTACGAGAAGACATAATTGCAGATCAAAAAGACCCTGCATTAATTATATGGAAAGTGAGATCCCGGAAATGATTTAGTTTTCACATATGCAACTTATAATATAGTGAATAAAAGATATAATAAAACAAGATAACATACAAGACTTAATAATGGATAATTGAATTATGGGATGTACCAAAAATACAAACTTATGTTTATAGAACACTTCTGATACATCACAGCTAAAAAGTATCCATTATTAAATCTTATGTCTAGGAGATATTTTCTGTTCATCACATTATAAGTTATATTATATGTAAAAAATAATTTATTTCACCGGAACTTGATCTTCTATATGATTAGTGGAATGTTCTTTAAACTATTCAGAGAAACAATTACTTCAGCATCGATGTATGGAAATTCCGGATGAATTTTCTTTCCAATGATAGGCCATCGTTTCCCCGTAAGCGAGGCCATTTTAGCTACGGCAAATGCACGATCTCCATAGCTCTTGGATAAATGTTGCGCGACCTCGCATTCCAGACCGAAATCCTGCACCAATCTAATGTACATTGTGGGGCTCCAGCCCTGAGCGCCTTCCAGAAGAAAGCCATCCGTCTGGCAGGGTCTTTCTGGTTCTAGCTCGCAAGCTTTAAACAAATATTTATGAGTCTTTTATAACACTTTGCGTTTAATTCTGCCAATGTACCTTTTATAGCCGCGTCAATGGTTTCTTGAGCCATCGCTCGGTAAGTCGTCCATTTGCCGCCTGCTATCGTGACGAGATTCGTAGGACTGACGTGCACGATGTGATTTCTAGCGAGTGACTGCGTATTCGGTTTATTCGGGTCGGAAACGAGCGGCCTAATACCGCTCCAGGCAGAAAGAACATCTCCGCGACGGACCTCAACGTCTGGGTTCAGATAATTTTTCACTTCCTGCAGAATAAACACGATCTCGTCTTCCGTAGGCCGAGGATTGTGTGTTACTTCGCAAGGTAAATCAGTTGTTCCTGCAATTGTTTGCTTTTGCCACGGCAAAAAGAAAATCACCCGGCCGTCACTCGTTGCTGGATCAAGTAGACCCATTTGATCAGGACTGGAAATATTGTAAAAGAAGCGTTAGTATATCGATTATAATGAATTCAACAATAGGCTACTAAACCTTTGCAACTGATGATGAATCTATTAGATTCTTTATGTAGAGATTATTCGAATAACAAAGATTCTGATAAATAAACATAATTAACATTCTCCGTGAAGTAATGTGAAGAGAAAAAAATACATTATTATGTATGAATTTAAATTAGTTCTTAATTCTTGTATTATTTGTTATTATTATTACAGCAATTGCTATTTTACCCAAAAATGTTAAAAATGTTAACCAATTAAATTTTCTTCATGTTACATTTACAAATTTGAATTAGTCTTATTAAAATAAACTTAGTATATTCATTCTTTTTTTTTTTAATATAAATAAAAAGTTGTCATTTTGGTTCCTTAAAATAATGAGTGCCTTTTAATCAATATATATTAAATGAATCTCACAGATCCAATGTCAGTAACAAATTTTGATGTCAGCTCCAGAGGATTATTTTAGTAATAAATCATTCTTTTTACCTGTAATATCCTGGCAATACTATGTGAACGCCGGAAGACGGAGCGCAAATAGATTGGACACTTTGATCGTCCATCTTTCTAATATGATCGGTGAAAGGACCAGTCGCATTAATTATCGCTTTGGCCTTTACATCCCATTCCTCTCCCGTGAGTTCGTCTTTAAGGTGAGCTCCTACAAGGACTCGTTTGCCATCCTTTTCGGACAAGGAAAGATATTTTTATAAAATATTCTCATATTTTCACGAATATTTGCGAATACCTGACATTTACCTTGTCGAGACCTTTTAATAAGTTAACTACTTTAACATGATTTACGACCGTTGCGCCGTGTCTTGAAGCTGTTAGAGCAATGGCCAGATTCATCCTGGCATCATCTTGTTGGCCTGTCAAATAGCACATTTATTCGAGAGAGCACATTTATTCAGATAGCTCAGTTATGTAAAAATTGTAAAAAAGATAAAGAGAGGTAGCAAGATGATTACCGTCATAATAGACAATAGCTCCCGTTAGTTTGTCGCCTTTCAGCATCGGAAAAAGTTCCAGAGCGTTCGATTTACTCAAATAATACGATGATTTGACGGTTTTGCTACCCGCTACCAGATCGTACATCTTAATGCCAAACCAGTAATAAGGAATTTGCCACCATCTGACAAAAGTAGTAGAAATATATGTGAAAAAGAACATACAGCATTGGAAGTTTATACTCCATTCATGCATAAACGTACGTATAAACAGGCAGCATAATAGGCAATGGATGTGCTAGATGTGGTGCACTTTGCAGCATTGAAGCACGTTCGTGAAGTGCTTCTTTCACCATTTTATATTGCTCGATGTCCACTTGCATGATCGCTTTCTGCAGATATCGTACGCCACCATGGATTAACTTCGTGCTGCGAGATGATGTGCCAGATGCAAAGTCATCGGCTTCAATTAACGCAGTTTTTAGACCTTCAAAAAGAAGTGTAGGACTTTACTTGAGCAAGCAAAAAAAAAGAGATTTTGCAATCATACCTCGTGTGCAAGCGTCCAGAGCGCATCCTGCTCCCGTTGCACCACCTCCGATTATTAAAACGTCGTAGTCCTGCGATTTCAAAGTTTTTACTTGATCTTCTCGTGTTGGCAAGGTCCTTCGAGGCGGTCTTGGTTTCCACTTCATTTCAGCGTGTACCTACAATCAAGTATGTAGATATATTTAATTTAATTTTTTAATTAATGTCATTTGTTATAATCTTTAAAATTATCATTTTTTTAATTGCTTGAAAAAAGCAGAAAAAAGAAACAACATTCTTAAAGAAAAAAAGGAAAAACGTTCTTTAAGAAACATTATGTTTATTCCTTTACAATCAATTATTATACGAAAATTGCATTTTAAAATTAATGTTGCATTATTTTAATGATTCAAAACATTTATATTTATTTTTTGGAAAACTTTGTTTTCCAAGTTGTATCTTTGTTGTATCAAATGAGTAATATGTATATCATATATCAGATATCTAAACAAGACATCGCATTATATAACACATAATAATAAGTGGATGTGCATGTGGGATCTTTGAAGAGTCTTAACATCTTATGTCTCATCTTGAAGCATCTCATGATCATGGCTAATTATATTGTGTACTAACCGTGGTATCTGGCAGGAGAAAGTATGAAGTAAGAGTACCAGCACCCACAGCACTTGCTCCAGCAACAAACCACCTGAGCGATGCCATCGTCTATCACTAGCTCCTCTCAATTTTCTTGAGGAAATCTGAAATCAAGAAAAGAGCATGATGATATATATAATTATAAATATAAAATCTAGGCGATAGAATTCTCTCCCTCTCCCCCCCCCCCATCTCTCTCTCTCTCTCTTTCTTGCTCCTCTCTATCCACATATTATATAATATATAATTTATACAATTAAAAAATATACAATATAAATAAAAAAAAGGCTAAAGAATAAATTGACAATTTTCTTTTTTATATAAATGTGAAGTAAATGCTGAAGTTAAATGCTTAATTGCTTATTAAATACTTGTTGGAGCAAGTTTTTTTTCACCAAAGTTTGGAATGCTAAAAAGAAAATATCTTAATTTAAAAAAAACAAAAGAAAAATATCCAAGATAATGATGTTCTTGTTTAAATGATATTCATTCAGTTCAACTTTTGAATTGTAAATTTTAAATTAAACTTGCTTAATAAGAATTTATAACTAAAAAACAAGAAAATATATTGTAGTTGTGGAGATTTTTGATAATCAATTCGACCTCTGTCACCTCGATGAAAGGCATCCTTCCTGTTTTCGAACTTCTAGCAGCTTTTAACAGTTGGGAGTAAAAAGATAAAGAATAATTCTAAAGCATAGTGGAATAATTAAAAATACCAAAATATTAGCTAAAAATATTGCTTGCATTTATTGAAGAAAAAAACTTTTATTTACTAAATTAATATAAATATTGTTTTTTTTAAAACTACCCACAGAAATAAATTTACATTTTGACACACATAGAAGTAAAAGATAACAAAATGTTATCTTAATTAACTCAAGAGATTGGGTTGCTTCTTTAATCTCCAACAGTGTAATGAGGAACTAAGAGCAAGAATCAATTATATAAAATTTTATAATAGTTGCAAAGTTTTTTTTTAACAGTTAAGAAAGGCCTGAACTGGGGCATTTTATACAGTCTTGTACGCTGCACATTCAACATACGCAATCTATAAATAATTTAAAGATTGTGCATTGTATCGTGAAATGTCTGCGACACAAAGTGGGACTCATTATTATCACTAGCATAACGGCAAGTGATCTGTTTAATGACCCTGATAAGATGCCGAAAACCGAGAAACATGCGGGATTGCGTGACATTCGATGTGATTATGACCATACAGCTGAGAAGACGATAAATGCAGCACAATCATGTAATCGACTCGTGCATAGGAATCCAGATATCGACAGTTGGTCACCGTCTGGCGGGATGCTATCTTGATCTTTAAATCTCGTCTTTATATATTATAGGCATGAATCACACAGACAAAAAAAAAGGAATAAAATGGCATACTATTGGCATGATTCATGCCTCCGGCAGATAACGTATCGTTACGAAATTCTTATCTTTCCACGCGGAGAGCTCGATGGTGGTCGAGCTATAGCCGGCGATTCGAGCTCGTTTTGGAAAGGGGAGCTCTCACAAAACAAATCACCTTGAAACGCGCGTATATAACGTATAATACGAGAACACAATGCTAGGCGGGATGTCGCAAGGTCAGGCTAAAATAGCGCCTGCGAGCGCTCACGGGCGGTATGTCTGTGCCAAGTTTATCAAATGAAATGTCACTTGCGTTCCTCATTACGCGTAACGCATCATTTATCTTACACGTTATTCAACCCACGTCTCGAAGTTCTCATGTTATAAGACTTATGATTCAGCATCGTCGTTTCCAGACGATTTTGTGGTCGAATGCAAGTCAATCGACTGTCTCGGAAGGAAAATTGCTCGCTAAGAAAGTGCTAAAAAGTGACATTGCTAGTTGATGTCGAGATGGCAAGGCAATTGGGGAACCGGAATCTAAATTGGCAGCCGGTTTTTGACAAATGACATACTCACTGCGAACTGAAGAGACGCGACTCTCACTCACGCCAAACGAGTAGCCTGATACTAGGATTCCGCGTGGCGCATTATCTTCAAATTTCTTTCAGTAGTTGCCTGCAAATACTCGCACCAAACGAACCCACAACCGACGGCTAATGTCGACCAATGTCGACTGAGCTGCAACTCGACGACGATCGTCAAAATATTATAGCTATAGAGCGATTGTTTGTCATGCTTCCGCTGCTGACCGGTAGAGAGTGTCAGTTAACGAACTGTCGTATCGACAGCAAATTTTCATGTAGAGATCTCTTCGTTAGCGATCTACGAACATGTCGATTCGTCGATCAATAGAACTCGTGTTAAAAACGAGGGCGTATAATGCCCATTAAATTCTTTATCTTTTTCCAATATAAATTAGCTTTGTTGCCTGTTTTTCAACGCAGATTACTCCAATTTTGGTTTACTATCTTTTTTTTAGAAGAAAAGTTCTAAGAATTATGTCCAACATTTCAATGTAGATTAACTGTAATTTCAATTTAACTACTTTTTTTATTAGTTCTAAGAATTATGTTTACTTTTATCAATACAAATTAACTTTAATCTCAATTTAATTTTGCATTTTTTTCTAGTTCTAAAAATTATATAAAAAATTAAGTAAATTGAAGTTAATCTGTATATTGATAGAACATTCTTGAGAATTGGAAAGAGATAAAAAACTAACAAACTGAGATTAAAATTAATTCTACTTTGATAAAAATATGCACAAGGATAACTTCGATGAGACTTCGATTAACTTGATTAACAGTGATTAATTTGCTAATATTATTTTGTTGAATTATTTAATACATGAAAAAAATTGAAGACAAATATTATATATCGACGAAAAAAATTTATATTTCTAGAAAATTTTCATATTTTAAATACATAACAATTTCTGAAAAAAATACCTTCAACTTCAGATTTGTTAAACTTTCTTTTCTATAATCATCTTAGAATATTTCAAAATTCACATATGCACATAAAAATGATAAAATTCTACGGAAACTTCAGAAAAATTATATAAAGAATTCTAAGAAAAACTTTCAAGGGCGATTGGAAATTTTGCTCGAAGCAATTCTACCGGTTGAATTAATCATCGATCAAGTTAATTAAAGTCACCTATAGGTTCGCAATATCGCATAAGTACATATCACGTTGAAACAAAATAATACTCTTTGTTATTTAACAGCAAATATCTGTACAAGTTAGGCACTCGCGTATGTCACGAATTATCATTCGTATAAAGGTCCATATACATAAAAGTCTCGTACGCTGGGTGTGTTATATCGATCGAAAACTTAACTCTAGGGACATACATTGTCATGTATGGCTATAACGCCTGTAAAATATATATCATATATATATATATATATATA